TCACACAGCTAAGAAGTGGCAGAGCTGGATGCGAACCCAGGCTGTGGAATTCCAAAGACTGTGCCCTCAACTCCAAAGCCCTAATCCTTCAAAACACCCTCTTCCAGTGACACTCAGGACGGGTCTGGGATGCAGAGAGGACCCAGGGGCGTGCTGGTCCCCAAGCCTGGGCCCTGCCTACACACCAGAACACCAGCCAGACTCAAGTCTGTCCCAGGGAAGGCGGCTGCCTTGTCAGCAGCTGCCCCTCCCAAGGAAGCCAGGGCAGAGCAGGATCAAAGGTGTGGGGGCAGGGGAGACACCCCTGCCAGGCCCTTGCTCCGCCCCCAGCCCTAGCGGGGCTGCCAGTTCAGCTCCTGCCTGCTGCAATGCAGAGGCCCCGGAGCTGAGCCGGTGAGTGGGTGAGCGAGAGTCGGAGCCCAGGGAGGGGTGCTGTTGGCCTGGTGCAGCGGCCGCAGGCCTCGTGGCCAAGCCATTGCTGGCTGCCCGGGCCCTGCAGCCGCGTTGCTGCTGCTCCCCTCCTGGTGGCACAGGAGTCCCTCAGCCCCCAGAAAGATTCTGGGGTTCAGAAGTGGGACCAGAGGAGATCTGCCAGAGACCAGCCCGTGGGCTTGCGAGCTCTTCCTGGTGCCCCTCCCCCCCGCCGCCCGCCGCCCCCTCAGTCACTGGGGAACTTCCTTCCTGACACCTCTCTGCCTCGGGAAATGTCAACCCCATTGGCCAGCCACTGGGGAGGCCCGGTTGTTGATACCGGAACAAACAACATTTTGCATTCCAGCATCACACACTATCTGAGCCGTGTTTACAGATGGAGAGACCGAGGTCCCAGTCAGGGAGGCAGCGAGGCTTGTCTAGGGTCACCCAGCAAGCGGGAGGCGGAGCAGCGACAGCACCGTGGTCCCCGGTTCCCCAGTGCCCGGTCCTCCTAGTCCCGGCTCAGATGGGGCCGGGTCCAAGTCGGGCCGGGTTACAGCCCTCGTTCATTCGGGACAGGTTACTCTGCTATTTTTCAAGCTACCGAGCAGCAGGGTGGAAGGGGACCCGACCACCAGCCGGGAGGTGACTGTGAGGGAGGGGGGGGGATGAGGGCCACAAGGAACCGCCTGGAGGCATGTCCCTCCTCCTGCTGCCTGAGCTGGAGGACTCAGCCAGGGGAGGCTGGAGGGCAAATCGTGCGTGTGGCCCGAGGGACAAGCACACGGCAGTGGCCAGAGGCCAGAACGGACACCGCCCAGGGCCTGACCTGGCCCAGGAAGACGGAGGCAACTGGCCTCGACCCCAAATATTGGATTAGCCAGGGACCCTGCCCCACGGGGTTCTGCCAGTCAAAGGCTTTTCTTCCCAGAAGAAATGGAGGTCAGGGCACCTCCAGCTGTCAGCACAGCACAAAAGGGAAGTCTGGAACAGCCAGCCAGGAGATCATTACTAATAATAATAATTACACTCACAACAGCTGCCCTTTATGGGGCGCTACTAAGTGCTGAGTGCCTGGCACCTTGCATCTCAGTTAATCCTCACCCCCCCAGGGCGGGCAGGCAGGCAGGCCACCAGTCCTCACAGTTATCCCATTTTACAGATGGGCACAGAGGCCTGGGAAGTTAAGTGACAGGCAGAGAGCAGGCAGAGGCAGGACTGAAACTCAACACTTCCCTCTCTGGGGGTGGGGTGGGGGATGAGACTTGCCCAGGGACCAAAAGAACAGGATCCTGAAGGACCTGGTGGCCCAAGGCCAGGTTCATCCCTAACCTGGTGAACTTCTCACCCCAGTGGCCACGCACCACCCAGTGCTGGGAAGGGGACCCTGGCTGAGCGAGGCCAGGTCTGTGGGATGGGGTCACTGTGGGGTCTCCGGACGCATGGCCGGCGGACGGAGCTGGTCCACCATCCTGGTTCCATCCTGGCTCCCAGCATCGCTGAGCCCCCACCCCCATGCTCCCGCGGCTCTCTCGTGAGGCACACAGGAGCTGCCGTGGCCCTCCTACAACCCTCCTCTTGCCACCTGGCATTGGTCCCACCTGAAGAGGGGGATGGACGCCAGCCTATCTCCAGGGGGTGGGGCAGTGGGCAGAGGGCAGGGAATCCTGTCAGACCAGCTTAAAGATCGGGCCTGGGAGGGGGCACCCTGTTCTAACAGAGCCCCAGGAATAAGGGGGGGGAGGGGACTACCGGCCTAACTGCCAGGGTGAATGCATGAGGCCATCGGCCAGCTGGGGAGACGGAGGGAGGGGGTTTGCTAAGGTGGGCAGACTCAGGAGACCCCAGGTGCTTAGGATGTGTGGGCAGGCCCCGCTGTGGGGGTGGGGGGGGCAGGGAGCCCTCAGAAGACAGGTCAGCCCCATCCTGGGGGGAGGACAGACATCCCAGGATCCTTCCCAAAGGCATTCCCACCATTTTCCAAGAGGCGGCGGCGCCCGAGGGGTTAAAAAAATGCAACATTTACCCCGCGGGCGTGGAAGGGATGCTGCAGGCGTGGGGGGCTCGGACCGGCGGCCGCGGGCGCTGGGCTCCGGGACGCGGGCCAGGAAGACTCTCAGGAGGCTCCCGCCTTCAACGGAGATGCCTACTCCACCCCCGGGGAAGGGGGACCCAGGCGCCCCCCAGCCTGCGCCCCGCTTGGCAGCTCGGCCCGGAAAGGACCCAGGCCGGGGTCCCGGGCGCCGCGCCCTTACCTGTTACCTTCACTGGCACCAGGTAAGCCGTGAGGAGGGGGCGCAGCGGGCTCGGGTCGTCGGGGGCGCCTCCGCGCCGCGCATTGGAGACTGCACCCCGCGCAGCGCTGGCTCCGCCGAGCTGGCTCCGCTCCTCCCG